CTAAAACAATCTGGCACTTGTTGATTGCATAGGGATTTGCTTCCCTGAGTCAACACTGTTAGGAGCATCTTTGGCAGCTGCAAGCGCCTTATGTAAGCCTCAGTCAAGTTTACCATTTTTCCTGCTGCAGCTGTGTCCAGTTGGATGGAGATGGCACAGATTGAGGTGTGGACTTGGACTGGACCATGCTAAGACATCCAGGCTCTTCTTACAAAAGCACTCCAGAGGCTGTTTGTTTGGGGTTATTGTCCTACTGGGATGTGAACTTCCTCCCCAGTCCCAGGTTGCTTGCAAAGTGAAACCGGTTTGCCACTAGAAATGCCCTGTATTTGGCTCCATACATCTTCTCAATTCTGACCAGCTGCCCAGTCTCTGCTAAGGAAAAGCATCCCTACAACCTGATGCTCATACTGCCAGGCTTCACTTCTCAGGGCAAGGAGCACTGCTGGCTTTGAACCCCACAGAGCATTTTGCAGCAAGGCCCAAAAGATTAATTTCAGTCTCATCACACCAGAGTACCTTTTTCACTGTCTTTGCTGTGTTTTCCACATGCTTTTTTTTTGCAAACTCCTGCAAACTTTATTTATTGTTGTAAGCCGCCCCGAGGCTTCGGCGAATGGGGCGGCATAAAAATGTTTTAATAAATAAATAGATAAAAATAAATACGGGCTTTCATATGAGCGAGCTTTCTTCTCACCACTCCTCCAAAAAGCCCAGCTTTGTAGAGTGTCTGCATGACAGTTGCTCAATGGATGGTTTCTCCCACCCCAGCTTGAGATCTCTCCAGCTCCTTCAGAGTGACCAGTACCCTCCTAATTGTTTCTCTGAGTATTAAATGCCCTCTTTATTGGTCACTTGAGTTTAGCAGACTGCTTTCTTTAGGCAGTGTTGCAGCTAAGCCACACTAGCTTATTTTTTAAAAAACTCAATCCTGATTGGTGCTTCTGCAAAGCTTTATCTCAGACATGCTTTGATAGCTCCTTAGTCTTCATGATCTTGTGGTTTACCTATGCTCTCCAGCAAACTCTAGGGCCTTAGAAACAAGATTATTTGCACTGGAATTGCACATAGGTGGACTCTGTTCAGCCAGGTGACTTCTGGAGGCAGTGGCTTGCACCAAAGGGGGCAAATATTTATGCAACCTCCAAGTGCCAACTTGTTTTTGTATACTTTACTTTTGTGCCACAATAAAAACATCTTCCCAGTGTTGAGTATCTTGTGTATGTCAAGTGATCACAATGTTATAATACAACATCCCACTCTGTGGAAGAGTCAGAGTGGGATGAATATTTGTGCAAGGCACAACGTAGGCATGTTCTCCTAATTCCAGAATGAATGAGGCTATTGAGATTACTCAAGAGCAAGGTGGAAGCCTTCTACTCACGACTGAAGGCATATTTCCAAAGAGTGTTTTCAAAAGGTGAACAGGTGGGGCTAGGACACAAGTTCAAGTATCATACCCAACTGGGACTTGCAACAGACCCTCACAATGAAAAGTGCTCTGCTCAGTGCTCAGAGCAGTCATGCCCACTGCCAGCATGCTCTGTTTCCCCTCCAGGTTTTTGTGCATGATCCCCCTCCCAGCAACAGACACACCATGGAGCGCACGTGGGTCTTATCAGGCTGTTTTTGTTGCGTGTGGATCACCAACTTAGGTGCTTTTTCTTTACATCATCCCCTCTTGTTTCTCAGTAACCCTGTTTTGGCTATAGACCCACTAAAATTCAGTACTAAGGAAGGCTTTTAGTACATGGAAATAGGACCATGGTCACAAGTATTGCAATGTGTGGTACTCGTCAGTCAGCTGTTTTGGGGTTCCCCTTAGGTTTTTTCCCTCAACGAAAAATGCACATTGCACTTCTGCAAAACTTGGTGTTTTGCCAGCTTTCCTCCTTGTGTGCAGATTGTGCCATTTTAGCTACACAGGGATGGAGAAAGAGTTTGCAATTACTATAGACATGATGGTACCACGTTTCAGCACTAAAGCAAAAATGCAGTCTCTTAGAGTTACAACTGGATTTTCTTAAACTTCTGCACATCTTAATAGTCAGCTGCTTCTATTTACCTGAGAAAAGAAATGATATGGTATTAAATACTGAAGGATTCACTGTGCTCCGCCTCCATCTCTTCCCTAAATAATGTTCTTTCCAAGTAAATATATTTAGAGCTGAAATGATAAAGGGACTAATGCATGAGGAGCATGACATGCTGCCACAGAAACAAGTGTTTAAAAACCCTCCTTAAAAATGTTGATCATACTGTCTGCTATACACCAAAAATGTAATAACCATATAATCCAAGAATATATCTCTTCATTAGCACAATTCCCAACCAAGCTTTTTCATAGTATAATGCCCATTTCCTGTCTATGTTTTATTAAGGTGTGGCAGAACCCTGAGTAAGCCATGTCCTAAGTAAGTTCATTCTGTTCTTCGCAGTTCTTACCTGCATTGCAGTAATATACAGATCCTTCTCCCAACTCTTTTTTTCCCTATCGGAGGGCAGAAAGCAGTCACATGAAATCAATTTGAAGCAAAATTGACAAAGCAAATGTTTTCTTTTCACTTTGTAGTGTGAGGTGGCTTGTGTGACACTGATTCTCTTAAGACTTCATTGATTTCCTAGGTATGGGGAAATAAGCTCTTTTCTTTCTGAAAGCAAAGATTGTTAGCAAGAAAGGGAAAAGAGCAATTCATAAGACCAGTTGTAGAATAAAAGTCTCTCTTCTAGGCTAGAGAGAACTTTGAGCGTCCAGGTACACTCTGAAGCTGAATGCAGATTACTTCAATAATCCAAGATTATTTATCCATGCTAAGTAAGTGCACTATACTTTATTTGAAGAGACAGTATTTTTCTGTTCCAGCTACAGATGAGATCTCCTACAGCTATTTGTGTCTAAACACCCATTTTTTTAAATATACCAGGCTGAAGATGAATTGGTAAGTATACAAATTTCTTTTGACACCCCACTCCATTAAAACTGTTACAGAATTAAAAACACATTCACAGCAAGAGTTAGAAGCACATTCCCATGTGCCAAAATGTGCCTGAGTGAGACACACCCTGAGTTGGAACACAACATCACAGGATCTGTTTTATGACATCTGAGAGAGCTGTGTGTCTAACTCTCATGGTTTAAATCCCACCACTTGGGCGGTTGAGGAAGATAACCTGCTTTATCTTTCCAGATCTTCTGCAAGCAAAGAGAGGTGATGTAATCAGACTGCTCCATTGGTATTGCACTGTAGCCCAGCTCAGGTGGACTGGATCACAGTATTCTTGATCCAGAAGAATTTGTTCACTGATGAGCGCAGAGAAAACTGAAATCAATAGCCAGCATCAAGTATCATTTAATGAAGCTGGATCACACCCAGTGGTTAGATAGAAACATTTTAAGCATAAAGAGCAGGTGGTGGAGGTGTGGGCATTATATGCTAGTAAAACTACAAGCCAAAATATGGGACTCAGATGCAGCAACCATGACACAATTGCTCCTCAAGAAGCATTTTTGCAGAAGAATGGTGTGCAACCCACGCCTAGGTTGCCGTATGGGCCAATGGCAATTGCATATGTATGGCTGTGTACTCACAACCAGGAAACCATAATCCATCTGTACATGCACTGAAGTGCATGCAGCCATGATCACCATATGTATTATGTATTAGATGTTTATCCTATTAGTCATACAGCTGCCTTCTCATCTATCATGTTTGTGGGAAATGTGTGTGTTGCTTGGTCAGAACCTGATAAAAACAGCTCAGAGTCCTGTGTCATCTTGAAGACTGACTAATTATGGCTTAAGCTTTCAAGGACATGGTGCACTTGTGCCATGGATTTGATGGTCCTGAAGGTGCCAGAATTTTGTTTTATTTTTATTTTTTTATTTTTTTTGCTTTTGCTGCAGCAGACTAGCAAACAGCCACCCTTCTAGCAATCCAGCAAAGGTTGCTTATGACGCACCCAATGAAATCAATGGAAGCGTTTTTGGTTGTAATTCAGGCCCATGCCATTGCTCTCAGTGAGACTAAGCATTGACTTATTTGTTTTGTATCCTGCCTTTCCAGCAAGATAAATGGCACTCAAGGCAACTTACAAATCATAGACAAAACATGATTCAAATGATAATAAATGCATTAAAGCATTGTTTTGGCTGGCTTGTGTCCTCATTTTTCTGTCACACATGTGCATCTTGCACTTGTGACTTCTGAAAAAGCAAAGGGTCTTTCTCTGTCCCTGGGTTGCCCCACATTTGCTTTGGTGCTGTAACTAGTGGGCATTGCTCCCTCTTTACAAAGGCATATGTGCTTTCAGATTGTAACAAGTCAGAGAAACATACACTATGGTGTGAAGACAGTGATGTTGGGCCAATTTGATGACATTTTACAATAGACAAACATTTTCCAAAAAGTGATACTAGTAACAATCAAGAATCACCAGTTAGACTTACTAATTTACTTTAAGTCAGGGTTATAATCAAATCAGAGAGAGATAGTTTATTTCAAAGACCGTCCTTAGGGTTTCTCCTCCACCCCTGCTAAAACTCCTGTAGGATATAGATAGAGGAGCCATTCAATAGCTAAACATAGATTATTTATTTATACCTGCTAACATGAAATGCCTACCAACCAACAGACATAATTAAAAATATAAAGCAATGGGGGGTTAAAAAAGAAATCCATTGCGCAGCACCACAATACATAGTCAAGCTAATGGCATTTGGTCAACTGTCATTAACCTTAATAACTTGCCTTTAATTATCAAGCAGAACTATTGTCAATAAATCCTGTCCTGTAACTAGTTTCCCAATTCAGAACTGGCCTGATTTATTTCTGATTTGTTGCATCCTAGTAAGCAACCAACTGTTACCGTGCAAGTGTTGACAACCCCTTAGAATAGTTGGTAGATCAAACTCTTCTTCTGAATAAGTCCGTATTTGCCAAAAGAAAATTACTCCTCTAAAATGATACCAAGTGGGAGAGACTGGGCTTGGGGAAAAGTCTTCAAGGCAGCTGTACTTGTTTGACACTATTCAGCAGGTCTGTGAGCTCATTGATGTACCGGATGGTGTATTTCAGTGTCTGTATCTTGGTGAGAGGTTGGCCCCGTTGGCTGTAGATCGGAGGCAGATAGTTGCGGAGGGTGTGCAGAGCTTCAGCCAGGCTCCTCATTCTCAGCTTCTCTCTTTCGCTGGCCTTTCTTCTGCGCTGGACTGACATCCTGACCTTGGAGCCTTTTTGGCCTTTGCCTGGTCCAGGGCTGGGGAGGTACATGGAAGGAAACTCCATCAGGGGGTATCCCCGCAGGCTGCTGCCACCGCCACCATCACTCCGGCTGCTGTTGGCACAGGGCACCTCCACCACCAGGGGATAAGGGGATGAAGAGTAGGATTCACAGGAAGGGGACGGAGAGAGACTTTGAGGCGACGAGTTCTGGCTGAGCTCCAGAGCGGCCCCTGTGTTGTTTTTCCAGTCCCATGAGGAAAAGAAGGGTGGGTTCTCGGAGTCCATGCTCCCTTCCATGCTCTCCAAAGTATCTTGCAAGCTGTTCCTCCCCAAGCAAAGATTTAGGGAAAAAAGACCCGATAATTTCCTGTCAGCTGTATGCAAGCCAACTCTGTTGTCTCTGTCTAGGGAGACCCTTTTATGACAGAGGGAGGGGTGGGCTAAGGAGTGACAAAATGGGAAACAGCATTGGGGTGTGGGGAATTCAAACGAATGCAAGTGCCAGAGTGGAAAATGAACTCCTGGCGTGTTACCTTCTTCTCTATGATAATTATCAACCTTCAGCTAAAACCCATTTAAGCTAACTAACAGGCAACAGCGAGAAAGGGGAGGTGGTGAGGCTATCATCTTGTAACGAAACCAATTCTACCTTCTTATCTACATTTAACAGTGCCTTGGAGAATAACTGGCAGTGGGAAAGGAAACAGAGGAAACAGGACCACAGGTTCAGCAACCAGGCCTGCATTTTATTTGAATGAACTGAAGTTTAAATGGTAATTTGGCAGAAAACAAAGCGCATAGGCACATTATATAAAACATTCCTTGCGGGTGTGTTACATTCAGCTATGTGAGACAGCCCAGTCCAACCCAACCCAAATGGTTTCTCCGCATTTCAGTTCCCAATATAAGGGGGAAAACAATTGGGACAGTTCCATTTTATTTTTAATCAAATGTATCCATGGTTTCCAAATTGCTACTATAGTGCCCCTGCTCTTACATGCCATGTAATGGCACTTTCCATAAAACAGTATGACATGAAAAATGAGGAGTAGAAAAAGTTTTACCCAGGAACAGTTTCTCCTGTTCTTCCATGTTTGTAGAATTCTCTCCCAAGGAATATGTGTCTGACTCCAACATTACAGGGGCCTTTAACAACTCAATTATTTCAGATTACTTTTTCCTAAAGGGTTTATGGTGCTGCCGGTTTAACAGTGTTCTAAATGGTTTCAGCGCGTCTAGAACTATGTCTTGCTGGCCCATGTACTGTTTAGATGTTTGCTTTTATGGAAATGTGAAATTGCACTTAATGAGTGCTTTATGGAGGCCTCCTTCCGAAGCCTTTGCCTTAAAAGACATCACAGGAGTAGATGAAGAGACATGCCTAACTAATCAAAAGGCTCGTTGAAATATCATTTCCAAATTCTGTTGGGTTTTGGATCAGCCTCATAATCCAGCAAGTGACTGACCGTGTCTGTGTGTGTTTTCCTGACATACTTTTCTCTTTAAATTTAGTCAGAGCCTGGCTGAATCTTTCTAGCTGATGGAGCAGAGTGACTAAGTGACTGGGCTACTCTTTTAGGAAGGCTCCATCTTTAATCATGTCTTAGATGTAAATGCAATCAGGGCTTTAGGCTAGCTACCATTCTGTGTCTGCAAAACAGGTGCAGCCCTGATGTGTTGGTCTACAGTGTTGGCTGAGGCTGATGGGAGTTGTAGTATCAGATTGGGGAAGGCTGAGATATAGTAATACTGACTGAGCTGCTGAAGTTGTTATGGTTTTAACAAATTGAAATGTGACTCATTTCAAATATGGAAAAGTGCTCGATAAATCATGATGGCAATATTGGCAGTCTATTGATAAGTGATTGAGAGGTGGACCAGATGCTAAGGAAGCATCTCATTTTCTATCTTTGGATAAGGAGCATGGCACATAAATGAAGAGCCTGGTGTGGACAACACCTGCAGCTTCTTGGAGAGCATGACTTTGCATGTGTGGATGAAAACAAATTCCCCATGATCACCCTTAGGGTTTCATTTATCTTACTTGTATCATGAGACCTTGGGGGCATGAGGTTAATTTCTTTCACATATTCTACTGGAACTCCTCTTAAATGGCAATAGTTTGCTACAAGGCAAAATAAATGAACTCATTAAAATGTGATTTGAGGATTTGAATTATGCTTATTAAAGTATGATTACTATTTTATATTAAACATATCAAACTAAAACAGTATATTATTTCTTGAAACTATATGCATATTTTGTTTGATCGAGGCATGTGGCAAAGCCCTACAGAGTGTTTCCCCACCACTGAAGAGGAATTCTGCTCATAGTCCTGCCTGAAACTTCATAATACAAGTCCTGGCTGTAGGAACTTCTACAGTGTTGTTGTTGTTGTTGTTTTTCCTTGGAGCGGTTTCAGGTGTGAAGATGAGAGAAAAATGCATTTTCTTTCCCATGCTTCTTTTCATACCTCCAGTGATATATAGCAAGAGAGGGCACATGTTTGGGGCCATCAGCTTTGAACTTAAGCATTTTATTGCTGTAGTGGGGAGGTGTGACTCTTCTGGACATCCAGCGTTTTGCAGGCATCCATCTGCTTGTGAAGCAGGATTTCGTCTTTGTCTCATGCTCTGCTGCAGCCTTCCTTGTGCCCCTAACATCTTTTCTGAAGGATCCCTCAACCCTCTGGAGCAGATCTGAGATGGGCTGGTGGAGCTGCATGTAAGATGGGAAATGCAGGATTCTGCCAAGGGTGTTCTGCCAGTGGATGGACATTGTTGGAATTCACCTCAGAAAACGGGAAGGCAAATTAGACAAAGAATGCAAAGACAAAAGGAAATAAATAAAACAAAACATAGCTGGATCAAATAAAGATCCACGAAAAGACTGGTGGAACAGAAATGCCTGTTAACTGCCTGAATAAGGGTATCAGGAATGGCAATCAGGTGAATATCCACTGAAAACTAGTGTGGGTAGCAATCTGGATTTAGAGCATTTTGGATAGGTTTGGTTGGCTATGGCCCTAGCAATGTTTTTATTTTTAAAATGCATAGTCTGCTTAAAAAGTGTGCACAATGCTTTTAAAAATACCTGTAAAACCACTCTGTTAGTGATTTTACATATAACATTGGACTATTATATTTTATTTTGATAGCACATACATTTAAGCTTTTGGTTCTGAATTACTATTTATGTGTCCATTTTATATCCTTGTTTTATATATGCTGAGGAAGATTTGTTTTCTTACAAATACATCTAGTTTACCATATTTGTGCTAGAACCTATTTAGGTTTTCTTTTTCTTGTTTAATTTAGCTTTGTTAGTTCTTTAACTGCAACTGTTAAACTATGGCACTATGAAGACTACACTAAAGGTTATTTCTGTACTATAGCTGCGAAGTAGTTTAAAATGAGTTTCAGTGACACTGCCATAGGGAACTATAAGGATGGCAATTTTGTACAAGAACTAATAATTCCCTGTTAGAGATCTCTAACCAGTTGCACAACTCCAATTTTGAGGAGAATGAAACTGATTGAGGAGAATGATGTCTGAACTGATTTGATACTTAAAATATATCATAAACCAATGACTCTGTGGGTCCTTTCAGGCCTGCCTAGCCATCTCTGCCTATTACATATGGCCTCCTGTAGCTACAAAGTTCCTCTTCCACTTTTCTCCCTTTGCTGTTTGTCAAGGATGATGGCTTAGTAATAGTCCTTCTCTTGCCAGTTGAATGTTGAAAATAGAAAATAGAATTCCAAGCCTTGTTGCTGAGGTATTATAATGTACTGGGCCAACATCAGGCAAGGAGACGTCTGCTCATACAACAGGTCTTTTCCTTCTGCCCCTTTTCACAGTGCATCTCTCTCACAATCACCAGATCTGCCCTAGAGGATACTCCCAACTCCCCAGAGTAGGTCTGGGAGGAATAGGGAAGGAATCCATTTGACTGGCGGCTTATGGATATTTTATTCAGTTTTAGAGAATATAGTAAATAATTTAAGCAACAAATAAAAAGACAAACACTGAACAGTAATAATTCCAAAAACTAATAAACAGCAAGCATTTTTGTAAAAGATTATCATTACTTGAATTATGTTGTCCTCTGAAAAACTAATTTACCTAAGAAGATGCATCACCCATTTTCTTAAATGCTGTTATGGGGAAGTGCCAATTACTGAAAAGATCCCAGTCTCAGGCCCATAGAACCAACTCCCCATCACAAATTTGTATATGCTGATTTACATATGATCTAAAGTTTCTCTCTGTATGTGTTTTTAAAGCATTCTGTCTTCTGACTGCCTTATTTATAAAATTGTATATTTGGACAGGGAGGGGGGAGCATTTGATTTCAGAAAAAACTCTGAAAGCTTCTAGTGAGGGGGCAGCAGGAAGTGAAACACATGTGGTCAAAAAGCCAGCTACTTCAGAAGGATCAGATGAAATCAGGATCATCAAGGCCCCTGTACCTTCGCTTCAGCCAGGGCCCATGGACAGTAAGTGGTGGAGCAGATGGCCTCCCAGAGGTTTTGGGGTTCTAAATGAGAGATTTTGGGGCTCCAGTTTTAGTAGTCCAGCACCTTATACTGCCTCTAGCATTTCATATGGCTAGTTATTTCCACTAGTTTCCAATATAGTGCACTGCATAAGTTAAGTACCTAATGGGAGTTTATAGATTCCAGCATTTCTTTTAGACAACATCCTTGCTGTTTAGGATAACTTTTGGTTTTGCAGGCAGCTGCAATCCTACCCTCTGTTGGATGCTCTTCAAAACTTCATTCCACAATAATTTTATATTTGGGATTGTCCAAAAGATATGAAGAAAATCTGCTTTAAAAACTGGAGCTCCTCAGCAAAGATCCATGCTGTTGTTATAAATGTAGTTTATTTTACACAGAGCTAAGCAACACTGATTAAATGGTTCTAAAAAAGTTTTCCTTTGAAATTGCACTTGATATATTAACTAGTAGAACCTCATCTTTTTAGCAGCAGTACAACTGATTATTACAAATAACTGAGGAAAGAATAGGAGTAGGTCTTCTATGATAACATGGATTCTTGATCTTATGAAAATGTATAAATAAATCATAAGTGATAACATCACAGATACTGTGTGCTTTTTCTGGGGATCCCTTCTTTAAATTTGGAATGACTGTCAGCCAGTCCATTAGGCAGAACTGCATACTGATCTCACAATAAGTTGGGGGTTTTCAATCTTTGTTTCTTATTTAATCTGAATTTCCTAATATATTTATAAATAATGATGCATATTGACTAATTTATTATCATCATTATTGTATTCCGTTTTTATTTCT